ACAAGAGTGGCCTGTGCAGAGCTGGCCTGGGCGGCGACGGCGTTGAGCTTGGGCTCGAGGGCTGCCAGGTCACTGGACACTTTGTTGACCTGGGCGATGGTGGCTACGCCGCAGCCATACTGCAGCGTGGTGGGGTCCTGGGAAGGTGGTGGATTGCAACCAACACGAGGCTGGGTGCACAGTGATGGGCAAGCCGCGGTGGTACTCAAAAACCACACAGTTCGTGAGCGAGAGCAACAACTGCTGTCGATGCATGTCCGTGAACACCGCTGCCAGTGTGTGTTACATGAGTGTAGGGTGCTGCACGTGGCTGGTGATGGATTCTCAAGCGCGCCACAAAACAATCAACCAAATCCGTCATCGCTGCCTGCTGCCTGCGTGCCCCAACCACGTACACCAGCCACCTGGCGATGCATGGGAGCCGCCAATGTGCGCATGGGCCCATGCTGTGTGCGCGCGTGTATGTGCGTGCGCACCTTGCTGTCGACCGTTGCGTTGGCGGGTGCCAGCAGCGCGCTGCACAGCTGGTCCATGAGGGCTGGGCCGGCCCTGGAGCATCTAGTCAAGGCCTTGACGGGCGCGCACTGCGCGCAGGGACGTGCGGCGAAGTGAAGCATGGTCGCTGGTTGTTTGCAGGGTTGTGGCATTGCGCAGGGCGGGCATAAGGGGGCAGGCAACCAGGCGGGTGGGCATTCTTCCTGGTTTGATTCGATGTCGACAGGGTTGTGCGTGTTGAACATCACCGTACCCACGGCAGCCGTACACCCAGGCCCCCGGGCAGCACTCACGATTGCCAGCTTGGTCTTTTTGGGGGTTGCTTGAGAGCTGCGCGGAATGCCCCGGGCAAAGGAAGGGTTACCGGTAGGGGTCAGTGTGGGGGTGAATTGTCGCTGACACTACTCATGCCGTGCATAGGACGGCAAGCGGCAGGAGGTGGGCATGTAGGGGTGCCACCAGCAAGGGTGGTTTGCGGGCCGCGCATGCATCGGCTGGGAAGACAGCTTCAGTGGAGGCATGCAGGCTTGAGCGCGATGGCTGGGTTGGCAAGGCATACTAGCCGGCTGGAGCGCCCGCAGTAGTAGGAGCGCCCAGACATGCGTTCCGGATACGGAACGCGTGTCTGGGCGTCACCAAATAGGGCATTGACATCCACGGGAAAGCTTCCATGTTCCAGGAGCTGGGACTACTGCTGTGCAGCAGCGTGACCTCTTTGTTGTCTGCCGCGTATGCACCGCCTGTGGGCTGCATAGCTCCTGTCTTGAGGCTGGCCCTCCTCCTAGCACCCCCCGCCCTTCGACAGCTGCCTGCGCACCTGGTGCACTGCACCCCTCCCAGCGTGGTGACCAGCAGCATTATCACCGCGCAATAAGCCAGCGAGCACCGAACGCCGTGCATGGCGGAAGACGTTGTCAGCCGCACTGCAACCAGTTCAAGGTCGGGCCGAAAAACCTCTTCGCGTGACGGACACCACGTTGATTTGTATCCTGACTCTCTGCTGCTCTTATGCACCCAAATCGGAGCACTTCAGTGGGGTGTGCCGCGACTGTATCAGGTACGGGCTGCCACTCTTTTGTTAAAAGCTTTGTCAACGTTCGGGCAAACTTGCGCAACACGTTTCAAGTGTCGAGTCGCGTCACATGAAAGATCTTGCAGGTGACCAGGTCCATACAGGGCCTGGTGGCAAAGGGGGGCTCTGGTGGGACCAGCTAGGGACGCGTCACCTTGTGGTGGCCTGGCAGGCCACCGTCAACGGCCTGGCAGGCCACCTGTGTTCATGTCCTGTCATCAAGCCCGAGGCTTCAGCTGCAAACCAAGGCTCACGAGGATTGCTCCCCTTCAAAACAGTTTGGAAAGCTGAAGACCTGTCCAAGAGAGGCTGGATCTGACGCCTCACATGCTACTTTGCCTGTGCGTAAGCCTGCCTACTGCATTAGGTCCACTATCAGACGGTGTGATGTAGCGTACATTGCGACACATAACAGTACATTATTGCACAGGGCCTTGCACCGGTATTGTGCGGCGCCCGTAGTTTGCACTCATAATGCCACGAGGAGTCTCAGGATGGCACTTTGACAGCACTTTCCAGGGAGGTAAACAACCCACACCTCACATGCTGATTTCGACAGTCAAAGTTTATTTCGAATTTTAAAGTTATAGGTAATCGTGACCGTCACGCCGGGGATGCGCAGTAGTAGCAAGTGTTAACGTCTTTGCAGGCTTGCAGCATTGCCGGCAGCATCTGCCTTTCACCTCCAGTGGAGGGGACGCTGCTGCTACAGACTGTGACTAGCCGAAATAAAGGCCGAGGCCGCCAAAGTTTGCAGGGGGAAGAGAAGGAAGGGAGCTCGCCGCGGCGCAGCTGCAGCGGCCCACAGTGCAGTGGCCTGCAGTGCAGCGGCCCACTGCAGTCAAAGCGCCATGCCCCGTGACTCCTGTTGAAAAACGGTGCAAACTGCGCGCGCTGCCAAGCGCGTAGGACAACAGCAGGCACGACAGCCAGACAGCGAACGGACGCCTGCGGGGCAGAACGGGGCTGGGCGTGGCGGGATGGGGCGGGGCAGGGTGGCGCAAGGCAGGGCAGAGGGGGGCAGGGGTGCGCGCAGGGTGCGGGGGATGTGCCCGACAACCGCTTGCAGTTGCACTGAAATGTTGGGGAAAGGTCTCAAACCATGGCCACCCGGCCACCGCCGGCCCCAGCTGGCCTGGGGCAGCATGAGGCTGGCCCCGCCCCAGGTCTCCAGTCCAGCGCTGCTGTGACAATCCTGATCCTACTGCAGGTAGGCCCGGTCCCAAGTGTAACTGAGTTTCAGAGCGCTCAGGCGTCAGTGTCCATTGCGGTGCAGTGAGTACCAGCAAGCGTTGTGGCATTTGATATGTTGTGTACGTCTGCTGTCGTGGACAAATTACCACTGCAAGGACAGGGTTTTCCCCGAACTGCTCTAAACACACGCCGGTGCCAAGAGAGCGACAGGGACGGGCGTATGGCAAGCGGACGGATAGATAAGGCATGCGCGCATCAGCCAAGTCTACAAACGCGTGCGCTGTACGCAGCTGTCCAGTCATGACGCGCTGCTCAACCAACAATATCAATGAACGTTTTGTTGATGAGCCACGCATGGTGCCAATGCTGAGGAGCACTAAAAGATCCCGAAGGGCCGCCACAGTGGGGTTGCAGAGTGCTCTTGCGTGGCAAGGCTTGTTGGTGGTGAGAGTGTGTGTGCACACACGTGGCCTATGCAACGCACGTGTCTATGCACCACGCGTGTGTGTATGCAACACGGGAGTATGTGTCGACGCCCATGCGAGGTCAAACCCAGCTGAACAAGCTCGCGAGGGAATGTGCGTGTGCGCACACCATGAGCAAACATAGCAAGCTGCCCCTGCAGCCGGGGTGCTATGCAGCTGCTGAGACATCAAACGAAGGCAATGCACACCAAGGGCTTGAGGAAAGTGCAATCTACAAAACCAATGGAAATCCAACGGTCACCAGTTTCGGTTGTCTCCCCAACTCTGCCGGCAACACCCACGGAGGAAGCGAACCCCCCGCAGGTGGTGGAAGCCACATTGCCGGAAGCATCAGAGCCAGACCACCAGTTGTCAACAACTGTCAAGACGCCCGCATCCCTGAAAGACGTCCGGATGCGGCCCCCCAGCAGGGTGGTAAAGTTGCTCGCCAAGACAACGCCGCTCGCAGACTCCACCGGCAGGTTGATGGGAACCTTGTACAAGGTGGGGAAACTAGAAATCTGGTCAGCCGCAGATGTCGACAGGAAAGCACGCGCCTGCGCGAGCCCGGTGGGCCTGAACGCTGAGGCGCTGCACAAGGCATCAGCGCCGGACCGCCCGCCAAGGTTTCCGTTCCTGGCTGTATCGGACTCTCGGTAGAGCACCACCCTTAAGCGCAGGTATTGCGCAGCAGGGATGCCCCCCAGCGTGACCGCATTGAGGTTGGCCAGGTCGGCGGTTTTCGCGTAGACGCTGAAGTCGATAGCAGACACGTTGGCCACGGTGGATGCCAGGGCGGTCAGGCTGGCGTTCACCAACGTGACGGCCGCCGCGCCTGCGGTGACTGACGACTTGACGGACTCGACGGTGGCGTTGGCCAGGGAGATTGCCGCCGCGTTCGCCTCCTGGGCGGATTTGGTGGCTGCCAGAGTGCTGTTGAGCGCTGCTACCCCCTGGGCTGCGGTCTGGTCTGCCGCATCCAGCAAGGCCAGCTTCTGGGCGGTGCGCGTGTCGGCTGCTGCAAGGGCGGCGATCTGCTGAGCGATGGCTGGGTCGGTGCCATTGGTCGCGTTGGCCTTCAGCTCCTGCACTTGGGCGTTGAGCGCTGCAATCTGGTCCCGCGACTTGGCGGTGAGCGCCGCGATCGCCGCACGGAGTGCGTTAACCTCGGCTCGCAGCACCGCGGTCTGGTTGTTTCCCCCCGCAAGAGCGGCCTGTGCAGAGGTGGCCTGGGCGGCGGCGGCGTTGATCTTGGGCTCGAGGGCTGCCAGGTCACCGGACACTTTGTTGACCTGGGCGACGGTGGCTACGCCGCAGCCATACTGCAGCGTGGTGGGATCCTGGGGAGGTGGTGCATTGCAACCAACGCGGGGGTGCACGGTGATGGGCAAGCCGCGGTGGTACGATGAAAAGCCCCCATTCTTGAGAGCTACAGCTTATGTCAGTGCATGTCAGCGAGCACTGCTGCCAGTGTGTGTGATATGAGTGCAGGCTGCTGCTGGTGGCCGGTAATGGAAGCGTGTCACCATACAGCGAACCAAATCCGTCAGCGCTGCTGCCTGCGTGCAACGTTCACGTGCACCAGCCACCTGGCGATGCATCGAAGACGCCACATGCGCGCGTGGGCCCATGCTGTGTGCGCTCACCTTGCTGTCAGCCGTTGCGTTGGCGGGTGCCAGCAGCGCGCTGCACAGCTGGTCCATGAGGGCTGGGCCAGCCCTGGAGCATCTATTCAAGGCCTTGACGGGCGCGCACTGCGCGGAGGGACGTGCGGCGAGATGAAGCATGGTTGATTGTGGTTCGCAGGGTTCTGGCCTTGCACATGGCAGCCATAAGGGGCCCAGGCAATTAGGCGGATGGGCATTCTCCCTGGTTTGCTTCGACGTCGGCAGGATTGTATGCGCTTGACCGCCGCATCAACATACGCAAGTCAGCTGTACACTCGAGGGGTTGCAAGGACTCCGGGCAGCACTCACTATTGCTAGCTTGGTCTTTTTTGGGGCTGCTTGGGGGCTGCACGGGATGCCCCAGGCAAATTGCGAGGCACCACCAGGGGTCAGTGTGGGAGTGGATTGTCGCTGACACACATGCAGTGCATTGGGCGGCAGCAGGCTTCTGGAGATGAACCTCCAGGGCTGGGTGCCAACGGCAAGGGGTGGTTGGGCGGGCCGCGCATGCATGGGCAGGAACACACAGCTCAAGTGGAGGCATGCAGGCTTGAAAGCGATAGCGGGGTTGGCAAGGCAAACCAGCCGGCTGGAACGCCGGCAATGAGTGTGTGGCGCGTATCTTGGCGTCACCAAACGTGACGTTGACATCCACGGGAAAGCCTCCATGTTCCCTGGACCCGGGCTGCTGCTGTGCAGCAGCGTGACCTCTTTATTGTTTGCCGCGTATGCACCATCTGTGGGCGGCATGGCTCCTATCTTGAGGCTGGCCCCCTTCCCAGTAACCCCCCCTTGCAGCTGCCTGCGCACCTGGCACACAACACCCCGCCCAGCGTGCTGAACAGCAGCAGTGAAACCGCGAAATAAGCCAGCGAGTACCGAACGCCGCGCATGGTGGAAGACGTTGTCAGCCGCACTGAAATTGGTTCAAAGTCCGGCTGAAGTACCTCTTCGCGTGACGGAGACCACGTTGATTTATATTCTGATTCTGTGATGCTCGTATGCACCCAAACCGGAGCGCTTCAGAGGGTGTGCCGCGACTGAAGGCTCGGGCCACTCTTTTCAGGAGCTTTGCTTGTCAACGGGCAAACCTGCACAACCCGTTTCAAGTGTCGAGTCGTGTCATTCAAAATATTGATCAGGTGAATAGGTCTATACACGGCCTGGTGGCAAAGGGGGTCTCTGGTGTGACCAGCGTCACCTGGTGGTGGCCTGGCAGGCCACCGTCCACGGCCTGGCAGGCCACCTGGGTTCGTACCCTCTTATCCAGCCAGGGGCTCCAGCTGCGTAAGGGAGTTTGTTGAGGTCACAGAACCTTCAAAGGGGCGAGGAGCTGAAGCACTGTCCAGGAGATGCTGGATCTGACGCCTCAATTGCTGCTTTGCCTGTGCACAAGGCTTAATGTGTAAGCCTGCCTTCCGCATTGGGGCTGCAGCTAGACGGTGCGTTACAACGTACGGAACAGCAGCGTACACTCCGATGTATGCCGGTAGGGTGTTGCACGGTATCTTGTACTGGTACAGTTAGGGCTGGGCTCTCATGTAATGCCCCCAGGAGTCCAAGAAGGTTGACAGCACTTTCCAGTGAGGTAAACGAAAACCTCACATGCTCATGTTGTCAGCAAAAACCATTATGAATTCCCTGAAATTGTAAGCGGCCGTGACCGTTATACTGGGGACATGCAGTAGCAAGTGTCACTGTTGCGGGCTTGCAGCTAGCATTGCCGACGGAGTCACACACTCACCTCCACCCAATAGAGGGCAGCCTACTGCTAAAGATGACTAGCAGAAAGCCAAGGCCGCCGATGTGTACAGGGGAAAAGAATGGAAGAACGCTCGTTGTGTCAAAGCCGCAGCGGTGCACTGCAGCCACAGCGCCCTGCCCCATGTCCCCCGTTGAAACCTGATGCAAACTGCGCGCGCTGCCGAGCGCCGAGCGAAAAGTGGTGTGTGGCCAGCGAGGCCTGCGCGCGCGGCCGCCCATCCAGCACACAGGGCCTCAAAGCCAGGCTGGCGCTGCGCGCCCGCGTGGCGTCCATTGAACTGGTGTTTTGTCGGCGGGTGGAAGGATCGGGCGGGCAGCTGGGTGAACACCACCTGTGCTGCCAAGCGCAAAACGAAATCGAAGGAGGGTGGCCGCCGCCGCACCAGGAGAACCGGAGGCGGAAGGCAGCTGATGCATGGGACACAGCCGCCTGCCAAGCCTTCGAGCAGCGCCGTGGCCTTGGCTGCTAGCCTCGTGCCGCAGCAGCATGCCCGGCTGCAGGGACCACCCACAGGTTAACACACCACGCCGGAAACGGGTGTGGCGCGGACGGGGCCAGACAGCACGAGGCGGGCGGGGTAAGTAGCGCCCCGTGCAGCCAGGGGAAGGGGACATCCACGCCCAAGAGGAAGCCCTCGACTTGCCCCAGCCTTTGTCGCAGCTGCACCGCTGGCCTACACTCGGCTGATGGGAGCGTTCTGAAGGAGGTGGAGCAAGGCAGCTCTTAAAATAGGGGAGCTGCAGGCAAGGCCGTGGCCGTGGTAGCGGGCATTCACCCCCCTGCGCCGCTGGGGCGCGGCACCAGGTGCGGGATCCTGGCCACCCTGACTGAAGCGCTGAGGTGTCTGGCCTGCTGGTACTCATGCACAAGACACTGGGGGCCCAGCTCAAGAGGTGCTGCACAGACAGTACACCTGGCAACATGGCTGCCAAGGCTTCTGCTTGCTTGCGCCTGGCTCTCAAACGCTCATATCAGCACACTGCCGCGCATCAAGCACGTGTGATCTGGCTGCACGCCCTGCACTACCTTGCACCTTCACCGCGCCGAATTGCTGCTTGTGCCAAATGTCCTCCACCTTTCGAGGCGCAGACTCCTAGGTGTGCGCCTCTGCACAACGTTGCTGTGCAATCTCGTTTCAGCTGCTGGGTCCTTAAACCAGCTGTGCATGCACACCGGACCCAGACCTTAAACCCTGCACGAATGCGGCTCAACTCTTTCTCGGCCTCAACTCTGGTCACGTATGCCCAGCTGCTGGGTGCACACCCTGCCTGTTGACCGCTGCGCCGCATGCGCCTGTATATGCTGGCAATCCTTACCAGATGACATGACATAAATGGTACAATCAGGAACACACGCTCGTGCGTGGGTGGGGTGGCCATGGCTGGGCCGCTGCCAAGGGACAGCCATGCGAACAGCGACCCACCATCTTCTGCTGTGGCGCAAAACGCCGCGTCGGCCGTCGGGGACTGTCGGTGCCATGCGATTGCATTTGCGTAAAAAGCCAGCCGCGCGGCCGGTCGCGGTGCCGAGCAGCAGCAAGGGCGGCCCAAGCCGGGGGCGCGGGCGCCCGCAAAGCCGCCGAGCGGCGGCGGGGGTCTTGCGGCGTTGCGGGGCCGAATCAGGCGCGGCATGCCGATTCACAAAATCGCGAGTAGGTGGCGAGGGAGATGCTGCCCCATCACGGGACATCAATTAGCCGTGTGTGGTTGGAACCTCCCCCCCGTCAAGGCGGTGGTGCTGATGGTTGGCACAAGGGGTCTGGCGTACCCCCACAGTCCTGCACTCGTTTGCCTTGGTGCTGTATCCCTTTGCCTTTGGCAGTGCCCCAATCTCAAGATCAGGCGCGCGAGACACAAGAAGTGCTCGATGCAACAAAAATACAGGTCAACTCACAGGCGTAGGCGGAGAGCCTGGGGGCCCTTGCGGCCGCGCCAACGAATGCGGCTGATACAGCAATCGGGGCAGCCGCAACGGCTGAGCAGCCGCCAGGGTGTCACGCAAGGATGGGCGTTCGGCGGAGCTGGGGGCTGCGTCGCAGCTGGGCAGGGCGGCGCACCATTTTGGCCGCCCGACGTGCCTGCAACTCCCTCCACTCCCTGTCGGGAGCGTGCCGCGAATTCCTGATGCCCTCATGCAGCGGATTGCGAGCTTTGTATGCGAGCATGGGAGCAGGGAGCTGAGCCGCAGAGGGGACCAAGCATGGGCGCGTGCGCCGCGCAGCCACGGGGCCCCCAGACGCTGCCGGGCGCCCCCCGTCTCCCAGCGAGATATCATTGATTGAGGTGTCAAAAAGCATGCGACGCAGCCGACGCCGCGCGGGCGCCGGCGGGCCGGCGCAGGGTGTGGGAAGGTACAGAGAATCTGTCGGGGCCACCCGGCGCCGCTACAGCGCCACGACGCAGCCCCGCGCGTCCCCGCCGCCGCCGCTGCACACGACGCGCTCCGACGCGCGCGGGCTGTAGTAAACCGCCGCCGCCGGCCGCGCCGCCG